CCTTTGGGCAGGAAGAGCTTCCAGGCCCCCCCCCTCACTTTGCCTTTTTCTTCTCCCATTTTCTCTCTCCCCCCGAACGCAAAAACCTGGGAAAGGCCGGCCATGATGGAGGCGTAGGTGGAAACACGGTGCCTCCTCGCACGACCAAATTTAAGGACAACAAAGATTTAGAAACAAAAACACAACCAAAACAGACAGAAAGTTGAACTGTACTGAAGTCCGACAATAACGAACCATTCATTCAGACCGGTAAGAGGGGCGGAGTTGGTGGCCAGTAGAGAGGGGTCCTGGCAGGAAGAGTAAGTAGGTGGTTGGTGACCTGGGTGCGGGCAGGGAATGAGCAAACCCAGTGAGATGCGCTGACCATGGACACACATTCACGCGCAGATAAACCAGGCAAAAAAAAAAAGAGCAGTGAGACAGCGCAATCCAGGGCCCCAGCAATGGGAAATAAAACCTAAAAGTACCAAATGGAAAAACTTTTGGGGGTTGAGGTGCCGGGCAAGACTCCCAGCCTCACAGGAGAGTTCATTGGAGAGACCCACAGGGTCCTGGCACGTACACAAGCTCACACATCTGGGAACCAGCACCAGAAGAGCCCAATTTGCTTGTGGGAAGCGGCAGAGGGGAAGGAAACCTGAGAGAGAGTGGAGCAAGCACCACTGTTCCCTCTCTGACCCTGCCCCCAGTCACAGCCCAGAGACTGGGCTGACCCACCCCGGTGAACACCTAAGCTTTCACCCCTCATACATAACAGGCGAGAACAGACCAAAACATTATGACTCAAGCAGAAGAACAGCTCAAAGCCCCAGAGCGAATACTTCTAAGCACAAGAGATAGCCAACCTATCAGATGCACAGTTCAAAACACTGGTGATCAGGATGCTCACAGAACTGGTTAATTTTTGGTTGCAAATTAGATGGAAAAATGAAGGCTACACTAAGTGAAATGAAGCAAAATGCACAGGAAACCAATGGTGATGGAAACAAAACTGGGATTAAAATCAATGGAGTGGGCCAGAAGGAAGAAAGAAACAACCAGACAGAAAAGAATGAAGAAACAAGAATTCAAAAAAATGAGGAGAGGCTTAGGAACCTCCAGGACATCTTTAAACGCTCTAACATCCGAATTATAGGGGTACCAGAATGGGAAGAGGAAGAGCAACAAGTGGAAAACTTATTTGAACAAATAATAAAGGAGAACTTCCCCAATCTGGCAAAGGCAATATACTTCCAGGAAGTCCAGGACACTCAGAGAGTCCCAAAGGAGGTGGATCCAAAGAGGAACACACCAAGGCACATCATAATTACATTAGCCAAGATTAAAATGAAGGAAGGAGTCCTGGCTGGTGTAGCTCAGTGGATTGAGTGTGGGCCTGCGAACCATACAATTGCGGTTCGATTTCCAGTCAGGGCACATGCCTGGGTTTCAGGCTAGTTCCCAACAGGGGACTCACAAGGCAGCCATACACTGATATTTCTCTCCTTCTCTCCTTCCCCTCCTCTCTAAAGATAAATAAATAAATAAAATATTTAAAATAATAATAAATAAAATAAAGGAGGGAATTCTAGAAGCAGCAAGAGATAAGGGGACAGTCACCTACAAAGGAGTTTTCATCAGACTGTCAGCTGATTTCTCAAAAGAGACCTTACAGGCAAGAAGGGGCTGGAAAGAAGTATTCCAAGTCATGAAAGGCAAGGACCTACATCCAAGATTGATCTATCCAGCAAAGCTTTCATTTAGAATGGAAGGGCAGATAAAGTGCTTCTCAGATAAGATCGAATTGAAGGAGTTCATCATCGCCAAGCCCGTATTATATGAAATGTTAAAGGGACTTATCTAAGAAAAAGAAGATAAAAAAGATGAACAGTGAAAGGACAGCAAACTCACAGTTATTAACAACCACACCTAAAACAAAAGCAAACTAAGAGGACAGCTAGATCAGGAGCAGAACCATAGAAATGAAGATCACGTGGAGGGTTAGCAACAGGGGAGTGAGAGGAGGAGAAGGGGGGAGAAGGTACAGAAAATAAGTAGCATTGGTGGTAGGTAGAAAATAGACAGGGGGGAGGGCAAGAATAGTATGGGAAATATAGAATCTAAAGAACTTGAGACACATGGACATGAACTAAAGGGGGGAATGTGGAGGGAGGGGGTGTGCAGGGGGAGGGGCATGAAGGGGGGAAATGGGACAACGGTAATGGCATAATTGATATAACATATTTTTGAAAACCTGGGGAGGGGGGGTCCTTCCTCCAGCTCATATAATCAGCGTTGGAACCATATGGAATGTTCATTTTTGGTTGAAAAGGGGTTGTATGTATAAGGCGCATGAATACGACTCAAATTATCCCACCCAAAAGTCTTTGATCCCCAGCTCTCCCCACTGTATTCTGCAAGGGGCGTCCTTCCGTTTGCACCTTCACCTCGTTCTGAAAATCTGACTTGCTGTCGGCAGCATTTCCAGCAGTGGGGTCAAAGGTAAAATCCATTTCTGACCGCAGGCAACGCTGCCAGGTTCCCTTCCAAAAAGACTGTAACTAGCTGAGGAATTTTCCTAGCTCCTTACTGCCCTGCCTCACTTAATGCCTGTATTTTCTCGTAAGGTTTTATTATTGTGTTTGTCGCAGGTACATCTTTGATCTTTCTGGAAGCAGTCTTTTAATAGTATGGTGTGTGACCAGGGCACAATTGCATTTTACCAGTTCTGTCCTCACCATTTGTTAAATTATCTCTTATTGTCTCACCGAACTCAGACACCACCTTTATCCTATATTAAATTCCTGTGTAGCCGGGACCCGCCTGTGAGTCCCTGTTCACTCCTTTGCTACCATTTCGGTTATTGTAGCTTCATAGTTGCTTTACTACCTGGCAAGTCAGCCCTGAGTCTTTGTTTACAATTACCATCTCCAGACACCTATCTCTCCACAGGAAGGTCACAATTGTCCGGTCAATTTCCAAAATAAAATTTCATTAAAAGAGATCAAACCTGGTGGTTACTGATGTTAACGTAAAAATAAAAAGGGTGGCTGTGGTTGGTGTGGCTCAGTGGATTGAGAGCTGGACTGTGAACCAAAGGGTCTCTTGTTCGATTCCCAGTCAGGGCACATGCCTGGGTTGCAGGCCAGGTCCCCAGTAGGGGGCGCACGGGAGGCAAACACACATTGATGTTTTGCTTCCTCTCTTTCTCCTTCCCGCCCCCCTCTCTCTAAAAATAAAAAATAAAATCTTAAAAAAATAATAAAAATACTATAAAAATTAAAAGCTCTTTCAAAGTGAGAGGTAAGAAGCATTTATTTGAGATCAATAAGAATAGCTATTTGAGATGCACTGAGGCAGGCCGAAGCCCCAACAGGGCTGACTAGGGATTTATGAGAAAGCGGAGAGGAACAATGGCCTCAGTAGAACACATTGCTATTGGTGCAGATAACATAAGAGTGTTAATTCTAAACAATGTTTTTTTTTAAAAAAAATTTAAAGATTTTATTTATTTATCTTTAGAGGGGAAGGGAAGGAGAGAGGGAGAGAAATATCAATGTGTGGTTCCCTCTGTGCATCCCCTGCTGGGAACTGGCCTGCAACCCAGGCGTGTGCCCTGACTGGGAATCCAATCTCCATTCTCTGGTTTGCAATCCACTGAGCTACACCAGCCAGGGCTAAACAATGGGTTTTGAATTTTTAGTCATTAATCATAATATCTGCTTTCTGGTTACCTGTGCAAACACATCACAGTGTTGCTTTAGGCCCAGCCCAAGGTTGTTTTGCTCGGTTTTAACATTCCGAAGGGTTGAGGTGTAAGTCTCGCGAGGCAGGGTCTCTGGGGTGACAGCTGCATGTCTATTTTACACACATACATGTATGTAAATGTATGTATATGTACATACATGTATACCTATATATATTCGGTTTTGTTTTCAGTTTGAGAAAGGAAGGGAGGGAGAAAGAGAGGAAGAGAAACATCGATGTGAGAAAGAAACATCAGTCAGCTGCTTCTTGTTCGTGCCCCAAATGGGGACCAAACCTGCAACTCAGGCATGTGCCCTGACTGGGGAGTTGAACCAGCAACCTTTTGGTTCTGAAGCCAGAACTCTATCCACTGAGCCACATCAGCCGGGGCTGATATTATAAGATTTTTGACATTTCAAAATGACAATGTTTGCATTTAATGTATATATTAAATGTTGAGAGAACTCACATTTTAATTATACGAAGGATTGCTGTTTTAGGCTGGTCTCAGCCAGTCAATAACTAACTTTACAGGACCAGCCCTTGAGGTTCTTATTTTGATTGCAAGGCACACCGTTCAGCAATAGCCACCAAGAATAAGACACAGGTTTATGACTTCCGGGACCTGGACATCGCATAGCACCCGTGGGGCCACACGGCTACGTCCTACGTGGAGAGCGAGCCGCACAAGGGCCCCCGGTTCTGTTCCTACTGGGCTAGAGGTTGGAGGTCTAGGTTTCTCAGGCTCACTCGTTACTGGAGAATTGAAAAGAGAAAGGCGGGGACTTAAAGCACAGGAGAACAAACGGGTAGCACAAATGTCCGCTACTGAAAGCAATCCAGATCTCTAATGCAAAGCACCCGAGGGGGCGGGAGGGGGCGTGGCCTGGCTCTGCAACTAGTCCCTGGGTCCAAGCTTGCTTGGCGGCGGCGGCAGAAAACTGTACTTGAACAACAACACTTAAAAAAAAAAGTTTAAAAAAACATCAAAAAGAAAAAACTTGCATCACAAAGCAAAACAAACAGAGCTCACACTGCACTCTACTCTGTGATGCTGATGCCCCCAAGTAATAGGACACTAACTGCCTGGGGACCTGACAGGGGAAAAGTCAAAGGTAGGGCACGTAGTCACCTAGAAAGCACGCGTCTAAGTAGGGTGATAGTAGCGAATTCTGTAATAATTATACAGGCAATAGATTGAAATCCGGTCCGCAGTCCTTGTCCCAAACTGGGGGTTCATCCGTGAAAGGGCTCAATCAGCGATTTGAGTGATATATTCTTTAAATTTTTATTTACTCATTTTTAGAGAGGGGAAGGGAGGGAGAGAGACAGGGAAACATCGATGTGTAGTTGCCTCTCGCACGTCTTCTCCTGGGGGCCTGGCCGGTAACCCAGGCATGTGCCCTGACTGGGAGTTGAACTGCCAACCCTTTGGTTGGTTTGCAATCCACTGATCCACACCAGCCAGGGCTGAGCAATAATTTTTTTTTAATTTTATAAATTGACTTTATTTTTTTATTTTTTATTTTTCACTTATTTTTTATATGGATTGACTTTAGAGAGAGAAAGGAAGGAGGGGGGAGGGAGGGGGGAAGTGGGGGAGAGAAGGAGGAAATGGGAGAGAGAGAGACATTGATTTGTTGTTCCACTTATTTATGCATTCACTGGTTGAATCTTGTGTGTGCCCTGACCAGGGATCGAACCGGGAACCTTGGCCTATCAGGATGATGCTCTTAACCAACTGAGCCACCCAGGGCCAGGACATTAGGTAATATTGTGGAGTATTTTAACACCTCGGGTCATCTGGTGTAAGTTTAAACCCGTGCTGAGTTGGTAAATCGATCCAGATCTCATTGAATCAGTCTCTTAGTCCTGAGACTGGGTCAGCTCAGTTCAATATTTATGACTCACACCCAGTGATGCAGGTGGGTTCCCAAAATTTGTCCTTTCTTGTGTAAGGAAGTAATCAGGTATTTAATAAGAAGCATTTCTATGAAAATAAAAGGAAAAAAGTTGGTGATTGGAGCAAATGATAACGCAGTTTCTAAGCCTGAAGAGCTGCCAGTTGAGAAGAAATCTGGATGTCCATGTGCCTTTTGGTGACGTCACTGGGTATTCAGGTGAACATTTTTCAGCGGCTGACACAGCATCAGGCATGGGGATTGTCAGAGCGTAAGGTCTTGTGGCGATTTCTCTGAAGTCTCTATTGAGTTGTCCAACTGCAGTTCGCAGAGCTTCAGGGGAAAAAGGGCAGTTTTACTACTCGATAAATCCAAGTTGGGGGCGGGGGGAGAAAATTGAAAAGGTCAGTTAGAGCTGCAGGCGAACTTTTGAGGAAACTAGAATTCAGGATGCAGTCTGGTTTATGGGTGGAAAACAAAACCTCAAAGGTAAGTATCTGAACTGGGATGTAACATCCACAGGTGTGTTTCTAGTGTTGCTCCAACCTCTGCTCCTGGCATCACCTCTTTCTCTGTCTGACTTTCCTGCCGTCCCCTGCCACCAGATTCCATTGCTGCCCCTCCCCCACGGACCACCCTGGCTAATCTCCCCATCTCAAGCTTCTTACCTTAGTCTCAGTCCCTGCTGCCCTGTGGGATTTACAGTCACAGATTCGGGGCATGAGGCCACGGACCTCTTCAGGGGCCATTATTCTGCCTATCAAAATTGGGTTAATTTAGTGAAATTGGATTAAAATGAATTTTGCCTGCTTCTCTTTTATTTTTTAAATATGGCTATCAGAAAATGAAAACTGACCTATGTGGCTCCCATTTCATTTCTTTTTATTTACATCCTCCTCTGAGGATATTTTTTATTATTGATTTTAGAGAGCAAGAGGAAGAGAGAAAGAGAAACATTGATGTGACAGAGAAACATCGATTGGTTGCCTCTGGGATGTTCCCTGACTGGGGATTGAACCCACGACCTGGGTATGTGCCCTGACTGACTGAACCCACAACCTTTCGGTGTGCGGAGGATGTTCCAATCAGCTGAACCCCACGGCCAGGGCTCCATCTATTTCTACAGGACTGCTCTGTATGTTTGCTGGTCTGTCTGTTTTCGGTCTCCCTCCTAGGCATAGAATGTACACTCAAGAAGACTGGGATTTTGTTTATTTACCACTGTATCCCTGGCTCTAGTGCAGTTCCCAGAACATAGTAGGCCCTCAGTACATATTTGTTGAATGAATAAATATTATGGATGGTTTTCCTGATGACCTGTCTCTCTCATGAACTCTCAGACAATCTCCACCCCCCCACCCCTCGCTGCCCCCCCACTCCCACAGCAGCCCCGTGACTTCCTCCTCTTCTGCCGAGATCAGGGATCCAGGGTAGAAGCTAGATCGGGTGGAGGTGGGGGCGGGAGAATGATTTGGAACAGTCCTGGAAGAGGGAGGGAGTAAGGCTGGTTAGAGAAGGAATCCATCCCAGACCAGTAAACATCTTTCAGATGCTGACCCTCCTCTTCCAGGACGTGGGCCTGGCTGTTTCCTTGGAAATGAAGGCCAGGCCCCACCCCATGTCCGAAGTGATGGAGATGTGGTTGCCATGACGACCCCGCATCCTCAGGATGGCGACATCTGTTGCAGCCAAATAAATACCCTTTGAGTGGAATTAGGGTGACACGGGATAAAAATAGCAGCTCGGATAGGGGCTCGAGCTTCCATTTCGAATCTTGCCAATCGAGCTGCACCACCCACCGCGCTGGGGGACCGCCCAGCTCCCTGGCCCTCAGTTTCTCAACTTCTGTTACTTTTCCCCCGCTCTAATTCTTGGGCATTTCAACATGCACACAGGTGACTGTAGCACCGTGCTGGCTCCTCAGTGCCTAGACCTCTTCTCCGGCAAAGACCTTGTCCTCCACTTGCCCACATCCCCTCCGCGCTTCCGTCACCCGAACGGACACCTGGTCACAACCAGCAGCCACACCGGCTCCCTCCACAATCTCAACGTTGAGCCTTCCACACCAGCACCACCGTGTGGGCCTTCCCAGCTCACTGGCGTCTGGACTCCAAAACTCCTTCGACCCCCTCAGCAACCCCTCCATTCACTAATCCAACCGCTTTCCCATTGGCTCCACCCTCACCCAGTTTAGAGCCCTGCGAATCACCGCACTCCTTTCCTTGGCCCCGCCCCCAACGCCCTGATCTCTTTTACTCGCGGGCCGCAGAAGGCAGACCGTCAACTACCTGCCTACCGGGGGCGGGGCCGCTCTGCTGGGTGGGGGTAGAAACACCCATACTCACGTGGACAGGTCTCACTTTACCCTCGGGACCGTGAGCCTCAAGGCAGTGCTACTGTTGTGTGGCGATTCGCTTTTAGAGCCCTAGCCCATTCGCTCTTCTTCGGGTGCCCCTATTTTTTTTTTTAAGTTGTGCTAAAAGGCATGTAACATAAAAATTGCCATTTTAAGCATTTTTGAACGTCTAATTTAGTGGCATTAAACATGTTCACAATGTCATGTACCCATCACCTCTACCCATTCCCAGAACTTTTCATCAGCACGGGAAATTCTGTTTCCATTAAACTTGAGCTCCACCCTCCTGCCCCCAGCCCCTGGCAACTCTATTCTACTTTCCATCTTGATGCATCTGCCGATTCTAGGTACCTCACTTAAGTCTATTCATACAATAGGTGTCCTTCAGTGTCTGGCTGATTTCACTGAGCATAACATTTTCAAGGTTCATCCGTGTCAGAATTTCATTTCACTTCGAGGCATTTTATTTGTGTGTATGTGTCTCGTTCCTAGAGAGGCCCAGGGCTTTCCTTCCTGGGTGCTTTTGTCTTGCTTCCTCGCGGTTCATGACGCCCGCTGTGGTTGTCAGTACAATGAGGCCAAAGCCATGGGAGGGGCCTGTGAAGTTCCCACAATTTTCCCAGCTCTGTGATCATCAATGATTTCACAACCGCCAGGGGAATCGTGTTTCATTAACATAATTGCAAACTGGAAAATGACTCTGGAGCTCAGCTTGATAAGATCTTTGCAAGAGCCTCTCTTTTTGGCATTGTTGATGCTCTTGAACTCTTGAGGACATCCACGCCAGCATTATGGTGTGAGCACAGAAAGTTAGCAGCTGAGCCCTGGCCAGTGCGGCTCAGCTGGGTTGAGTGTCGTCCCACACACCAAAAGGTCGTGGGTTTGATTCCCAGTCAGGGCACGTACCTAGGTTGTGGGTTCGGTCCCCAGTCCAGGCGCACACAAGAGGCAACCTATCAGTGTTTCTCTCCCTCCCACCCCCCTCTCTCAAATCAATTACCATATCCTCAGGGAAAGATAAAATAAATAAAATTAAAACATTTTTTACCAGTCAGGGCACATGCCTGGGTTGCAGGCCAGGTCCCTAGTAAGGGGTGCACAGGAAGCAACCACACATTGATGTCTCTCTCTCCCTCTCTTTCTCTCTCACTTTCCCTCTCTAAAAATAAATAAAATCTTTAAAAAAATTTTTTGAGCCCTGGCTGGTGTAGCTCAGTGGATTGAGCGTGGGCCTGCGAACCAGAGTATCGCGGTTCAGTTCCCAGTCAGGGCACATGCCTGGGTTGCAGGCCAGTTCCCGGCAGGGGACACATGAGAGGCAACCACACATTGATGTTTCTCTCCCTCTCTTTCTCCTTCCCTTCCCCTCTCTCAAAAAATAAATAAAGAAAATATTTAAAAAAAAATTTTTTGAGCTTCCCTCACCCAATGTGAGGGGTGCTTTTTACCCACCTTTTAAAATTGTGAAATAAGGATAGTTTCTCTTTCCCATAAGCCCCTGGGGTCTTCTGCATTTTGTACCCTGACCGTATGCTGCCAAATCAAATCAATAAATAATATTATTGTAAAAAAGTACTTCAGCACCTGGCACGGAATGAGCCAGCAATTGGAAGTCGTGTTGTTACATTGAGGAGAAGCAGCAGGGGGCGCCTTTGCTCGGTCCACGCCCTACCCAGCTCGCCTCCATTCGGTGCCCCTGAACACACACGCGTGGGGAACCTGTGTCTCCTCAGAGCCTCCTCCACGCTGGCCCCGGCCTAGCTGAAGACCAGCCCTTGAGGTGTTTGATCTGACCCCTTCAGAGCCTTCATCTTGGGCCTGAAGCCCATCAGAGGCAGCTGGAGCTGGGGATGCTCCCCAGATGGGCCTTTGAAGGTGAGATGAAAGCCCCTGGGTCACAGCCAGTGTGCGCGGCCAGGTGGGACGCTCAGGAATGCTAGGGCTGGGCCGGGAAGAGGCTTAGGCTGGGCGGACAAGGAGGTAGAGAAAATCAGCCTTCCGGAGGTGACCGGGGCATTCACTGTGTACCTGCTGTGTACCCAGATATTCGCTGGACAGTGCCTGGGACACAGTGGTGGCAGACCCGCATGGGGCAGTGATGGAAGCAGGCCAGTGACAACCTAGAGTGAACAGTGTTGGGATGGGGCCTCTGATGAAGTCAAGGAGGACTTCCTGGAGGAAGGGAGGTTAAGCCACTCACCGAGTCTATGACGCCCAGGGAGATCAATGTTTTTGGCCACATAGATCAGCTGTACTGGCCTTTCTGATTCCTGAATGCTACAAGCTCATTCCCAACCTCTGAGTCATTGTACTTCCCAGGAGTGTTCCTTCTCCTACGTCAGATTGCAGATCAGTTATTGTGGCAGCATGTTACTCTTTGAAAGAATTCCCTTGCTTCTGGCTTTTGTGGACTCCTTTACTTCCTGTCTTCCCAGCTAGGATGTGACCCAAACACCCCCCTGCCCCGGCCCTGCTCCCTCGTGCTTGGCAGGGTGACTAACAAAGAGCTGATGCCTGACAAATTGTTGTCACAGGACAGAGGGAAGCCAAGATTCTCCCGATAAACCACGGTCTGGTGAAGAGGTGGGAGGAGGGCATTCCAAGCAGCGGGAACAGCATGTGCAAAGGCTTAGAACAGAGAGAGAGATCCGATGTTTCAGAGACCCTGGGGGAGAAGGTGCCTGACTGGAACGAAATGCCTGGGGTGGGAAGGGGGAGGAGAAGAGGAGGAAGAGGAGGGAAGAGAGGAAGAGGTGTGAGGAGAGAGCAGGAGAAGGGGGGAGAAGGAATCGGGGAGTGGGCAGCGTGGGAGTCAGCTGTGCCCTTACGAGATGGGGTGCAAAGGACCGGGAGCTTTGATTCATTGGACAGGTGGACGTGGCCTGATACCACTGGAAGCTTTTTACGCAGGGGCCGAGGGGGCCCAGGGGCCTTGCTGGGAGAGCCACCCTGCTGGCTGGCTGGCTTGCAGAGGCTG